GATCTATTAAAAATGATTGTGAGTTAAGGTCCAAAGAAGAGTTAGAAACACAAAATATATATCTAGACTGGTGGTCTACAGCACAAGTGGAATCTAGGCATAGAAAAGATAAAATAGAGGGCTTTTATACAGAAAAAATGATATTTGATAAACTTCTGCTGGGCTCAAATGATAAAGTAATTAAGAAAATGTATGATTATTTGCTTGAAACTAAAATGCGAGATGAGATGGTAAAAGAATGTATGATTAGGTTGGCACAAAATATAGGACGTAATATTGATATTCATCAATGTTTGCAAATATAGAAAAATAACATAGAGCTCACAAAATCAGTAAATTTCAAGGAGAACATATATGTTTATGCCTCCAGAAAAATTGCCAAAGATTTATACAGAGGTGTCAAATGTTTGTTGGAAGTGTGAAGCACAAGAGGGAAGCGTTTACCATATGTGGTGGACTTGTAGAGTAGCGAAACAGTATTGGATAGCAGTACATACTCTGTTACAAAAATATACTGCTTTGTAATGTTCCACTAACTCCAGAATTGTTTTTACTGAGCATTATACCAGATAATATAGATAACACAAAGAACTACCTAGTTATATATATAGTCACTGCAGCCAGAATTCTTCATGCTAAGAACTGGAAGAAATCAGAGATACCAAAACAAGAGGAACTCATTGAGAAGATATGGGAAGCAGCAGAAATGGATATTCTATTAGAAGTTTTGAAAGACTCTCCAATACAAAAGGCATCTGAATTATGGGATTTATTATATAAATGGCTTGAGTCACCAGATAGTGCTTGAATAACATAGAATTAAACTGAGATGTAACTGTAAGTTGAAACCTGGAGGGCAATCAAATTATAGAAAGGCAAAAACTCGACTTGATATCGCAACATGAATAAACAGATTGAATGACAGTATATTTTATGTTCTCCTTCCCCCTCTTCCCCCCCATATCCCCTCTACCTTTTGTACTCCTTACCTTATCCCTAGTTTTTAAAAATAAATTTTAAAAACCCCTAATTTCTGATTTCCCTCTGCTGTGGAGTACTCAAACATTTTTTATCGCCTATACAGATTGTCCAAGCATCTTTCTGTACATTAACCACATGTGTATATACACAACAGAGTAATAGAGATACCGTAGAACCATGACTAAATCCGATTGTTAAGTCTAAGCAGAGGAGATCTGTTTGGCCAGTTATGCTGTGATAACACAAAAGATCTACATTTTGGATGCAAATTGCATTAAGAAATTACTCTAGACCACTGGTTCTCAACCCTGGCCCCCCAGATGTTCTTGGACTAAAACTCCCAGAAGTCTTCACCATTAGCTGTGCTGGCCAGGATTTCTGGGATCTGTAGTCCAAGAAAATCTTGGTCACCCAAAGTTGAGATCTACTGCTCAAGATGTTGTCTGCTGCATACTGAGTTGTGTGGCTCAGCATGCAGCTAATGAGGTCTGTAATGGTTTCTACTTGGGCAATTTGCCTTCAAGAGGATTTTTGCAATTGAATCAGTAGGGCTTAGATAGGTATTGACCTGCTAAGTCTCATTCTTTTTTTTTTAAATAAAAACTTTACTTGGGATTAAAGGAAAAACCCCGAATTTAGCCAAATGTACTTAAACTGATTGAGATCTAGGTTAACTGTCATGCCTTTCTCCAAGGAAGCCTGCAAATTGTAGTTCTGTGAGGTTGCTGAGAAATCCTGGGTACAATTTCCTGGATCCTTCATTCACTAAGCTTTTCAAGACTACTTGGATTTCCCACAGTGATTCCTGGGAAGTGATTATCATATCAACAAGCATTATACCACTTCTAGCAGATGAGATGAGATACATTCAGTACAGGAGTGAAATTCATTCAGCCTGAAATGAAAATCTAAATATTTAATTTAAAAATGTGAAAACAATAGTCATTGACAGTGACAATCCCCACAATGCTTTAGAAGCAATATCACTGCATTCAGCTAGTTGCTAATTGGGCTAATGAAGGGACAATAATGTTTTTGTTGTGGTGCAACACAAAATTTCTTTTGTGATGAAAATGTATAAATAGTGCGCATTGCTAATCATTATGGGGCAGGATGAGGAGGAGTGTCGTTGCTGACCTGAATGATATAAAAGTGACTGGAGAGGTTTTCCCCAATCCTGTATTTCTTTATTTGAAGCAAAGGGTGCCCTGTCACTCAGCGCACCCACACACATATACATGCACACACACCCCTGCAAAGCCATGCAGGCTTTTACTGAGTTTAAATAGCAGTTATTCCTAAATTAAGGGGAGAGGATACAATTTCCTCCATGCTTAAATATTTGACCAGCAGGACAGTTCTGCAAGCAAAGCCAAAAACTGTGTAAAGGCGAGACAAGATTCATCCATATGCCTAATAAAAATTAGTTGTCAGCAACAAATGGATGCATATAAGGATACCTTCCAGCATGTAGATACAGAATGTATGTTTATATGTATAGGGATATTTATGATGTGCTTGCTAAGAGTGGAATGGGATATCTGCATAGAATGTGCTTGACCAATGAGATTGTATCTATGGCTAACCAGGCTGCTATAAAAGGCAGTGTCAGCCAGGAGTCAGTCAGAGTTAGGAAAGCGACCCATAGGATATGTAGACTGAGAGTGATCGGGACGGGTGGGGCTGACAGGGTCTCTTCCACTATGTACCTCAGACACTCAGACTGATCTATAATTGTAACTGATAATATGTACTATGGCTGAGGTTAAAGTATTATAAATATAACAATATTATGAAGTAATAACTATTAGTGAATGTCTGTCATAACAAAAATATCTAAGCACTGTATTTATGTGATATAGTCTCTCTCTATAATAATGATTAGTATAAGTGATCCATTATTAATAAACAAAGTCACAAGTGTTTATTTGAATAACAATTGCTGGCACAAGCACACAGTATGGGAGAACAACATTTTATCTTTATACCATATAATGGTGATGTTTTTATGTAAACACTTCCAGCGGTGATGTGCTAATTCTGTTACTTAGTAGGTTATATAATTAAACATAATCAGAACCCAACACAGCAGGGAGATTAAAATCAATTAAGAAGTCCATTATCCACGTTAGCTATTGTTTTACAGTTTTTACAGCTGTAGTCTTCTCCTTTAGGCGCACTCCACACCAGCATCTTCGTTATGGTTGCAATTGTGTTGACCCCACGAGTTTTTACTACATGAAACAATGGTCTCTTCATTTCCCGAGCAATTCACGTTATCCAGCCAGATATTTCCAGTTCCTTACATCAACATAAGTAAGAAAGAAGAGATGAAATGAATGATTGTAGAATAAGATGGAAAAAATAAAATAAAATAGGAAACAGCAGTCCACCGTGGCTTTCCCAAGAAAAGAACATAGGCCTACACCTCATATTCCAGACTGTACATTATTAACAGCTGAAATTCATTAATGCTCAGGAGATGGGATGCCAGCAAACTGTTGTGGCTGAGCAATCATACTTGCAGACAAAGCCTTTGCTTACTTCCTCACGCCCCATCACCAAATAAAGCAATCTGATTTGTAAACAATGGGGTGTGTGAAAAGAGCATGCTGTGACAATGACAGGGGTTTTTTTGGCACCTGAGAAGCACCTTTTAATTAAGTTATTTGTAATGTATAATTCATCCAATTCTGGGAAACTGTGAGAAGTGGAAGCTTTGGGAAAGATTTTTGGACCTTGTAGAACAACTGCATTATTACTGCCCGCTAGAGACGGGCACAAAATGGCAGTTCAGTGGTTTGTGCTGATCTGTCCTTTGGATGAAAAGGTGTCTGACAGTTCCCAGCCCCGTCTCCTCTGGTGGGCACCCACTCAGAGGCAGTGGCCCAGCTTCCTTGCCTCGCCTCCTTCCAGATGATGCCTCTGAGTGGATGCACCCGCTGGAGGAGGCACGGCTGAGAAGCACCAAACACCATCTGGATGAACCAGCATGAACTGACAAATGGCTGGTTTGTGCCCATCTCTACTTCCCACCCAGTCGTTTGGAAAGGGCCCTAACGTTCTTTGGTTGCTTCCTTCTCCTTTTGCTTCTCACCCTCTCATTGCATGTCAAGCAATTCCAGATTGCAGTAAACCACAAACCACAAAAAAAAACCTCCCTTACATACACACCATCTAAACACATTTGTGTCATTTGTGCATTTGGTATTTGGATTTCTTTGCTGTGAAACCTGGCCTCCTTTAAAGCATCATATTCAGTCTTCTTGTTAGGTGCCTTCAAGTCCTTTCGACTTACTATGATGACCCGATAAATAAGTGACCTCTAAAAGGTCCTCTCAGGAGCTCAGGTCTTGCAAACCCCAGGCCAGGCCTTCCTTTGCTGAGTCAATGTAATTCCGTAGCTCCTCCCTCCCTTGGATGAACTGGGAAAGTACCTTCTGCAGATTACAAAATCAAGAGGGCCCTACTTTTGGAGCTGTCGTGAAAAATCACTAGAAATACTTTTCCCAAACTTAGTTTTTATCCCTGCCTGAAAAGATTTTGCTTGCACCCCGTTCATTGTGGCCTATAATTGCTTTTATGAAATAACCCACATTGTAGGCCAGGGACTGGGTTGCATTTGGTAGAGAAGTCCCAGAGATAGGAGGACATCTCTTGCTAATTAATTATCTCCTCCTTCTCATAGCTGCTTGAGAAGCAACAATCCCTTTAGAGTCCTTTAAAGAATACAAGAAGAGGCATTTTGTCAAGCCAAAAGCCATATGGTCCAATATCCTGTTTCCTTGGTGCCCACCTAGTACCTCTAGGAAACAGAACTACTCTTTCCCAGCATGCTGCCTCTGTCACTGGAGGCAGTATATGTTGCTCTCATGACCAGTAGCCAGTCACAGCCTTATTTTACCCTGAATCCCCCTTTTAAGTTATCCATGTTGATGGCCTCTCTTACATCTTATTTATTTATTTATTTATTTATTTATTTATTTATTTATTTATTTATTTATTTATTTATTTATTTTATATCCCGCCTATCTAATCAATTAAGATTACTCTAGGCGGCTT